CTAAGTCTTTTATCCTAAGTTACATAGGATAAATAGGGAGATAGTGACTTAGATTGGATAAGTCTTTTATCCAACTTTGACTGAATAAAAATCAATTTTTTTAAACAGCCTTATATATGTGTAAAATACATCTAAGCTCTGCCAAATCTAACATCTTTAACTGCTTAAATAAATTTTTTGCTCGAAACAAGAACAGGACATTTTGACTATCTGAGAAACTGCATAAAAAATAGAATGGTATGGAATGGACAGTTTGACAATATCAATTATTTTTTAGGTGTTTACATATGAATTATACCTGTAAAGGCATTATTACCTGTGCTGGCAAAATGAGTTCACTTGCGTCACTACTAAGAGAATTTGTTAATATAGTTAATTAGTTATCAGAAAAAAAATAATTAACTTTAGTTACATCGAAATCGCGAATATTCTATCCCTTTTAGCCGTCATTGTCGAACACATGGGCACTTGAAGATATGAAGTTCTAACGGCCAACCCGATTACTAAGCGTTCTATGTATCATCCTGTTTAAATATTGGTCTTAAACCTCAAGAGTCATTCCCTTAAATTAATTTTTTTTTAATAGTTTAATTGTGTAATAATTATATTATTAAAAATCAAAAACGGTTATATGAATTTATAACTAATATAAAAGGTTAATGTCAATTTATAGTTTCAAATGAAAAGTTAAATTTAATTTTCATTCGTAATGTGATGTTAATTGGTTTTTTATTTAATTAATTGTTTAACAATTCTGTTTTTTAATTTACATGTCAGAATTCCTGTCGGCACATCTTATTTTTTTTTCACTTTTTAAAGTTTTCCAATTGCACAGAATATTTTTTTCTTACCAGTGAAATTTTGTGTGAATATCTTGCGATTCAATGATCATCGTAGGTCCCAGAATGCGAATACAGTCGGTCTATCAATTTAAACTGCCGTAGTCTTATTGAAAAAATTAAAAATATTTGACTTTTTTTTTTGTTTTGTTTTTATTTTGTTTTCAATTATAAATAATTGAGTAGCTGAATTTTATTGCTTGTTTAACACCATTTACTGCGAACAATATTAACAAAATTGTTTTTTGTTGTTTATATTTGTCATTTTTTATATATGTTTATTGTTTATGAATGTAGCCACATAAGCATATTAACAATAAAAAAAAAAATAAAAAATTAATATATGAAAAATTCTGGTGATGCGGTCATCAATGAGCTTGCCTGCCCGACTGATTAAATTGATCACAAGAAGTCGCGTGCCTCGATGGTTCGCGTGATGCGTGACTTTAATAAAAACTGGTAGCGAAGCAATTAAGAAACTTGAAAATAATTTATTTTGTATCTGTTTTTATCCACATATAATATTTTTTTATATGTAAAATATGCCAAAATACATTTCCATTTACATATTTTTAAATTATTGATATTATTAAATAAATATGCTCACATGTCATTTACTAATTTTCTGTTAGCGAAAATATTTTTTTTCTTATGAAATTATTTTTTAATTTTAATTTTATGTCAATTTAAAAATATTTTTAATATATGATAACTAATAGCTATTATTATTACAATCAATTAACTATGTCTTTTTTTTTTAATAAATTTATTTTTATTTTTATTTCCAGTTATTTTTAACACATCACCAAATCACATCCGAATGTCGAACTTGCTGAGCAACGTACTGTGGAAACTGCTACACAAGACATAATTATTAAATAATAATAGCAAAAAATTGCTATAGATAAAAAAAATTGTAAAAAATATATATAGAAATTGAAATAAAAATCGGTGCTAATAATTTTTAAGCCACAACATGAGTCATCCGCATGACAATAAGCGAAAGCTCTCATTTCTTGGGTTTAATACCCAAAGAAAGGTAAGACAAATTGAATTTTATTTAATTCATAAATTTTGTTTTTATACAATTTTTTATTTAAACCAAAAATTGTTGTGATTTAACGTTACATTTTACAGACGGATATCACTATTATAGTTAATAGAAACTTAGAGGTTCATAAAAAGGTTTTTCGAAGAGTAGTGAACTACAACAACAAAAATTCATCCAAAAATTCAATTAATTAAAATAATATAAAATGAATTTTTGTTGTTGTATTTCTTTACTATTCAAAAAATCTCCTTATAAAATATTTAATATATAATTTCCTTTTAAGGTCTTTAAAGTCCATAAAAGTACACATATGTTTTGTTATTATTCGTATTTTGAAGTTCGTTGACTTCAAATATTTGTATTACACAATATTTTTATTTATTTATTTATTTTTTTATTTGTATTTTTTTATTATTTTTTTTTTTTTGTGTTATATTTCAAGACTTTCTTTTTTCGGCTAGTAACAATTTTGTTGGCAAATTTTTTTGTAGAAATTACATTTTTGCTCGCTCATGTGTGATTACTGATTGATTATGCACAACTTTTACTTGTACTTCAAGTCACAAAAGATATTAAATTAAAAACAAGTTTATACTTTTCTTTTTGTTTAGATACTTTTAACCCAAAAGTGTGTTTGCTTTAAGTAACTCTTCCAATATACCTTCGTTAAGTATAATTACTTTTAGACATTTTTATATT